TAGATGCCCAAGGAGGCTGTGGATGCCCCAAGGAGGCTGTGGATGCCCAAGGAGACTGTGGGTGCTGCAGGGAGGTTGTGGATGCCCCAGAGAGGCAGTGGATGCCCCAGGGAGGCAGTGGATGCTCTAAGGAGGCTGTGAATGCCCCAGCCCTGGCAGTGTTCATTCCAGTTTGGCCAAAGCCTTGAGCAACCTGCTCTGGAGGGAGGTGTCACTGCCCAGGGCAGGGGTTTGGCACTAGGTGACCTCTAAGCTCCATGCCAACCCCTTCACACACTCTGATTCTCTGAAATTCCTGTGCCTCATCCCTGTTTCCCCAGGCCAGAGGCATTAACCTGTCCTGTGTCCGGACCTGTGTGGTGGTGGCGGAGGAACGGCCACGTGTTGCCCTCACCCATTCCTTCTCCAAACTCTTCAAGGACATTGGCCTCTCCTCCAGGGCTGTGAGCACCACCTTTGGCTCCCGAGTCAATGTGGCCATCTGTTTACAGGTAACCCTTCCTGCTGCTCCCATTGTCCCAGACCCCAGATCCAGGCTTAGCTGTGTTCCCTACCTCAAACTCCCTCATCTACACACACTCCTGCAGCCCAACATCTGCTCCTGGAGAACAGCTGGCACAGGGTTTAAGCAGCTTCTCTTGTTTTCAGCTGCCAGATTAAACCACAGATGCTCACAGCAACTGCAACATGACGTGGGAGAAATGTTTACTGCCACACAAACTGTGCCTGGTTGCTTCAGGCTGATGGCTCAGAGGGTTTGGGCTGTCTCCCCCTCCCCAGAGCTCCTTCCATGCAGGTGCTACAGACTCACCTGTTCACCAAAAGGTTTCCCTCGGTGCAGCTGCAGAGGGGGGAGGATGTGAGCAGGGATTTTGCTGCCTGTAAACCCCCTGGAAACATTGCTGAGCTCAGGCAGAAGCTCCCTGTCTGCTGTGGATACATTAATGGCTTTGTTAACTCCTCAGGGAACATCTGGACCTGATCCCACCACGGTGTATGTAGACCTGAAATCCCTGAGACATGACAGGTACAGTGAGTTCCCTTAAACCAACTTAAGAACTCCATAAAATGCAGTGGTGACACTGAGCTGTCACACCTGGCTGGAGATTGCAGCTCTCTTAGCCCCTGGCAATGTTTTCTGCCCCCTCAGAGTGCGTCTGGTGGAACGAGGAGCTCCACAGAGCCTGCTGCTCTCTGAGTCTGGGAAGGTAATTCCTGTCAGCCCCAGAGCCAGGGATGGAGCCCACACACTCCCCAGGTCCCTTGGGCTGTGCTGGGGAGGACAGTCCTGTGGCACAGCGTGGGAGGGGGTGGCTGCTCTGCTCCTTTGGGAGGTGAATTTGGTTTATCTTGAAGGACCTGTTGATTTGGGAGTGTGTTTTGCTGAAGCTGTTGGGAGAATTGCTTCTGCTGGCAGTAAATGAGCTGTATCAGAAGTGTGGGCTGTGCTGTCCTTGCAATCAGCCTGTATTGAGGATTTGCTGCTGCTCTTAGTCCCTCGTGGATTAACAGAAATGGTTCATAGTAGTTTTTTCTCTGAATCCCTCAAAATCAAGCTCTAGCAGCATGTGCAGGCCCAGAAAACCTTACCTGGGTGGCCCCTGAGCCCTGGAACACATCCATGCCCTTGTCCTGCCCCACTGTCCTGGTCCTGTCCTGCTTTGTCCCTGTTTGTGATGGCTGTGGGTGAAATCCTGCCCTGAATGAGCAGCATTTGTGTTTCCTTGTGCCTGGAGATAATCCTACAGGGATTACACATTGCTCCTTGTGCTCTTTAGATCCTGCCTGGAGTCAAAGTGGTCATTGTCAACCCGGAGACAAAAGGTCCTCTGGGAGATTCTCACCTTGGGGAGGTAAGTGCAGGTTCTGCTCCTTGGGGACCTTCTGCTGCTGCTCCTTGGCTGTTCCCTGCTGAGGGTCACACACTCCTATACATGGATCTGTGTTCACAGATCACTGGACAGTTCTGCACTTCACATGTTGAAAATCTGTAGTTTGTTTGCTCAGTGAATCCTCAGTTGGGAAAGTACATCTCAGGATGCATTTTGAAGGTTCTAGAGGATATTTGGGGTTTGAGCTAAATGAAATCCACTTTCTCATCCAAAAAATCTTTGATAAAAACAGAACCTTCTTGTTACAGTTCATCACCTGCTGCATGTTCATTCCAAGTTGGATAAAACCTTGAGCAACCTGCTCTGGTGGGAGGTGTCCCAGCCCAGGGCAGGGAGTTGGGTCTGGATGATCTCTAAGCTCCATCCCAACTCCTGAACACTGAGCAGATCTCTGGATGTGCAGTGATGGATGAGACTGTTTTCCCCTCCCTGCACAGATCTGGGTGAACAGCCCCCACACAGCCAGTGGCTACTACACCATCTATGACAACGAGACCCTGCAGGCTGATCACTTCAACACTCGCCTGAGCTTCGGCGACGCGGCGCAGACGCTGTGGGCCAGGACAGGGTACTTGGGCTTCGTGCGCCGCACGGAGCTCACGGCAGCCAGTGGAGGTGAGCAGCACCCAGAGCCTTCTGCAGGGCTTCACACACCTCTGAGCACCCACAGGCAGCTGGGCAAGCTCAGGAAGGGACCCTTGGGCATCTCATGATGCCCAAGATATTAAAGAGAACTAGGCAGTTCTCTTTAATATCTTTATTGATGATTTAGAGTAGGGGATTGAGTGCACCATCAGCAAGTGTACAGATGGTGGATCTGCTGGAAGGCAGGAAGGCT